TGCAAGAAGGGTAACAGGTAAAGCAGATGAACTTAGAGCTTGGATTACTAGTTGAAACTATTTTGCTATCACAGAGACTTGGTTAAGGGAGGGACAGGATTGGCAGATTAACATTCCAGCATACAGATGTTTCAGGTGGGATAGAGGGGGATATAAAAGGTGTGGGAGAGTTGCACTACCTGTTAAGGAGGATATCACAGCTATACTGTGGGAGGACACCTCGGATGACTCGTACGGCGAGGCAAAATGAGTAGAGCTCAGGAGCAGGAAGGGTGCAGTCACAATGTTTGGGCCTCCCAACAGCCAGCAGGAGATAGAAGAACAAATATGTAGGCAGATTTTAGCAAGATGTAAAAGTAATAGGATTGTTGTCGTGGGTGATTCTAACTTCCCATATATTGACTGGGACTCGCTTAGTGCTTGGAACTCGGACGGGGCAGAGTTTGTAAGGATTATCCAGGAGGGCTTTTTGAAACAATATGTAGATAGTCCAGCTAGGTAAGGGGCCGTACTGGACCTAGTATTGGGGACTGAGCCTGGCCAGGTGGTTGACGTCTCAGTAGGGGTGCAGCTCAGAAACAGTGATCACAATTCAGTAAGCTTTAAGGTACTGATGGCTAAAGATAGGTGTAGTTGTCAGGTGAAGGTGCTAAATTGGGGGAAGGCTAATTACAACAATATTAGGCAGGAACTGAAGAATGTAGATTGGAGGCAGATGTTTGAGGGCAAATCAACATATGGTATGTGAGCGGCTTTCATGTGTAAGTTGCTAGGAACTCCAGACCGGCACCTTCTGTAAGGATGAAGGACAAGTATGGCAAGTTTAGGGAACCTTGGATAAGGAGAGATATATTGTGAGCCTAATCAAAAATAAAAAGGAAGTATTTATCCAGGCTGAGGCTGGGAACATGCGAAGCAAGGATGGAATACAAGGAAAGTTGAAAGAAACTTAAGCAAGGAGTCAGGAGGGCTAAAAGGAGTCATGAAAAGTCATTGGCCAACAGGATTAAGGAAAAGCTCAAGGCTTTTTATACATATGTAAAGAGTAAGAGGGTAGCCAAGCAGAGGGATTGCCCACTCGAGGACAAGGAAGGGAATTTGTGATGAACTAGAGGAAATGGGCAAGGTATTAAATGAGTACTTTGTCAGTATTCACCATAGAGAAGGACTTGGTGGATGATGGGTGTGTAGATAGTTTGGGTCATGTTGAGATCAAAAGGGAGGAGGTATTGGGGGTCTTGAAAAACAATTAAGGTAGACCAGTTCCCCAGGGCCTGATGAGATATACCCCAGAATACCGAGACCGGCAAGGGAAGAAATTGCTAGGGCGTTGAGGGAAATCTTTCTACCCTCACTGGCTACAGGGGAGGTCCCAGAGGATTCGAGAATAGCCGATGTTGTTCCTTTTGTTTAAGAAGAGTGGCAAGGATAATCCAGCTAATTACAGGCCAGTGAGCCTTGCGTCAGTAGTAGGGAAATTATTGGAGAGGATTCTTCAAAACCGGATTTAAACCCACTTGGAAATCAGTGGGCGTATAAACAAGAAGCAACATGGTTTTATGAAGGGGAGGTTGTGTCTCACTAACTTGGTTGAGTTTTTTGAGGAAGTGACGAAGATGATCAATGAGGATTGAGCAATGTTTGTTGTCTACATGGACTTCAGTAAGGCCTTTGACTAGGTCCCTCATGGCAGGCTGATACAGAAGGTAAAGTCGCATGGGGTCCGAGGTGAGCTTGCAAGGTGGATAGAAAAACTTGCTCGGTCGTAGAAGACAGGGTTGCAGTGGAAGGATGCATTTCTGAATGTGGAGCTGTGACTCATGGGGTTCCTCAGGAATCAGTGGGACCTTTGCTATTTGTAATATATATAAATGATTTGGAAGAAAATGTATCTGCTCTGATTAATAAGTTTGCCGATGACACAAAGGTTGGTGGAATTACGGATAGCAATGAGGATTATCAAAGGATACAGTTGGATATAGATTGGTTGGTGACTTGGGCTGAGAGATGGCAGATGGAGTTTAATCCAGAAAAATGTGAAGTAATGCATTTTGGAAGGTCTAATCCAGATGGAGAATATGCAGTAAATGGCAGAACCCGCAAGAGTACTGATAGGCAGAGGGATCTGGGTGTACAGGTACACAAGTCATTGAAAGTGGTAATGCAGGTGGAGAAGGTAGTCAACAAGGCATATGGCATGCTCTCCTTCGTCAGCCGGGACATTGAGTTTAAAAATTGGCAGGTAATGTTGCAGCTTTATAGAACCTTAGTTGGGCTGCATTTGGAATATTGTGTTCAATTCTGGTCGCCACGCTACCAGAAGGAGGTGGTGGCTTTGGAGAGGCTATAGAAAAGATTTGCCAGGATGTTGCCTGGTATGGAGGGCATTAGCAGTGAGGAGAGTTGGAGAAACTTGAGTCGTTCTCACTGGAACGACAGAGGTTGAGGCGTGACCTGATAGAGGCCTACAAGATTATGAAGGGCATGGACAGAGTGGGCAGTCAGAAGCCTTTTCCCAGGATGGAAGAGTCAGTTACCAGGAGCCATAGGTTTAAGGTGTGAGGGGCAAGGTTTAAAGGTGATGTATGAGGCAAATTTTTTTACGCAGAGGGTGGTGGGTGCCTGGAACTCGCTGCCAGGGGCAGTAGTGGAAGCATATACTGTAGTGACTTTCAAAGATCGTCTGGACAAATGCATGAATAGGATGGGAATAGAGGGATACAGTCCCTGGAAGGGTAGGGGGTTTTAGTTGTGACAGGCAGCATGTCGGTGCAGGCTTAGAGGGCCAAAGGGCTTGTTCCTGTGCTGTAATTTTTGTTCCTTATGCCCTCTCTGAAAGTCTGATGGAGGTGGGCTCTATTGAGCACTTGAGAGGGTGTTAGGTAATTATTTGAATAGAAACAAAGGGTGGTGGGAAAAGCAGGAGAATAATAAAAAGTCACAATGTTGCTTTGGAGAGCTAGTACAATTACCCGAGTCAGGTAATTGAATATTTGTTTTCAAGGTGGAGCTTGATCTATTTCTGTTGGGACTGGGAATCAAAGGCTATTGGGGATAAGTGTGAATATCCAAGTTAAAACAAATAGATGTTTGATCTTGAAGGGTGGAACAGCTTGACGTGCCGAATGGTCTACTCCTAATTCATATGTTCATGTGTACTGTGAATGATCCTCTGGTTTAATTTGGTTTTCTTTGACACCCTGCCTTTTTATGTTGCACCGCTTTGTTAAAATGGCTGATCTTTTCTTTTTGTATGCATTTCAACTAATATGGACTGTGGCATTTAACATGACCCCTGTTTTTGGATGGCAGTGAATTCATTTCATTCTATCTTTGGCATAGAGGTTGACACCCTATTTTTCATGTTTAGAATTAGACTCCAACTAGGAGTTGGCCCCAGTTTTCCAATTCAGACATATACATTTAGGGTTATACTTATAAATCAGTGCATGTGATCAAACAGATTGTTACCATGTTCAGGCATTTGAAGATTTACACATCAAGCAGACTACAGGCTACAACCAATGAACAAATATTTTTTTCAACATGCCAAAATGGCTGACCCCAACATTCATTCATGTTTTATACCCTGGAATAAGGTTTGTTTGCACCTTTGTTTCAGGGTGAATTTTTGGAAGCTTGAAAAGTTTGCTAATGGGCTGTGTTCCAAACTATTGAGCACGTTTTGCCCCTTTCCCCAATAATCAGCCCTGCTATTTTCCATTTTGAAAATCAACATCCATTACAGATACTATTTTAATCGGCTGGTCCTTCGTCCATGGTTTTGACCACAACCAGAAAGAGATGAATTGCAACACTGAAGTTAAAATAAGCAAAAGATGCTGGAAACGTTCAATGGGCTGTGTTGGGAGAGAATTGAAGATTTAACATTTTAACCATAATTTTTCTTGAATCTGCCCAAGGCTACTTTTGAAATGAGAATCCCAAATTCATGCACTTCACAAGTACCCAATATTGATAAGTCATCGGCCTTTTGTTAGCTCAGAGAACGGTAGGCCGGGTTCAAGCTTTTCGCTAGAACTCCTACAATTAACTGAGATCGTGGGTACACTTCATAGAATCCCTACAGTGTGGAAACAAGCCCTTTGGCTCAACAAGTCCACAATGAACCTCGGAGCATCCCGCCCAGACCCATCCCCCTATAACCCACCTAATCTACACTTCCCTATGGCAATTTAGCATGGCCAATCCACCTAACCTGCACATCTTTGGACTGTGGGAGGAAACCCATGCAGACACGGAGAGAATGTGCAAACTCCACATAGACAGTTGCCCAGGGCTGGAATTGAACCCGGGTCCCTGTAGCTGTGAGGCAGCAGTGCTAACCACTGAGCCACTGGACTTCAATTATAGATTATACCAACTCAATTCCAAAATTTCCTTTTTATGCTTGAAAATTTCTAGAAGTTAAAATTCTCTTGTCCTAGGTCTGCCATTTCTCTCCAACCATTCTGGAAAAACCTAGCATACTATCTTGCACCACTGCTTCCATGTGAAACATTTTATGATCATGAAATGTTCTCCCTTTCTTGACTAGTGCACTCTGTGTGAAGATCATTTTTGTAAAATTTAATTTGTGGTGATCCTGGCCTGTGTTTCAGAACAGCCCTTTTTTAAACCTCCCAAAACTACCTACCAGTACACAGTAATTTTTCACAGCTGAAATATCCTTTTCTAATTGCAAATTCAGCCCTGCTGTTGGGAATCAATCCTGTAGTTCAAGTCATTGTTAATCTGCTTTCCCACTTCTGCATTTTTGTAGATGAGATTTTAATACTGTAACTATATGTACTAAATTCTTGATGCTTGAGCTGATAATTGACAGCTGAATTACATCTCCTGTTTCAGTTGAGAATCCATTTTAATATTGGTGTGTGCATAAATGGTGAAGGAGGTAGGTGCATTTTTGGATGTGCAATATGACAGCAAGGATATCTCTGGTAAGATGTGTATGATGCACTTTTTCTTTTGGTTCATAGTTAAAAATACCAGCTGACGATAAATTGGAAAAGTTTTGGATTGATTTCAATCTGGGAAGTCGCAGTGTAACTTTTTTCATTAAAGATGACAGTCAGGACAATGAGGTAAGAGTGATTTTGCTGTGTAATGTGGCTTACTTTCAATGCTAATACAGATTAAAAGTATGCATGTCACAAATAAGATGGTTTTTGTTCAAATATTGTCGATCTCAAGCTGCACGAGAAACTGTTTTTTGTCTTGAGCTGTGTGATCAACCTATTTATTTTTCCCCTTTTACTATTTTTGTCAATGGTCAGAATTACTATCAATGTCTGAAAACTTCTCATTTTCTATATAAGCTGCTCTGTTCTATCATAAACTATTCATCTTTAACTGTGGTCTCAGCATAAATGTACTTTGGACTAGCAGAAATAAGTTTTGGGTCTCACGTTAACTCCCATTATCGCTTTATTTCTAGGTGCAATATTTTTTAAATCTGCCGTTAACAAAGATTTGTCTTCTATGATATGGGGCTATGCGCATTCGTGGAATGTTGACTATTAACCGACTTTGCAAAATTATTGTAGCTCAATGCACAGTTACATAAATATGGGAACATACCTGGAGGTTGGTTTCAATTTCAAAAAATATAACTAATTCTTTTTCTTCCTAGGTGGACCTCTGGGAGACTGTGAGTTTATTGCAAGATGGAGTCAAAAGTTTTAGTGTGCTAGGTAATGGAATGAATGGTAGTGATGAAAAGCAGTCACTAAACGTAGTCCCCTTTTTAGTATTTTATCCATAAGATGTGGGCATGTGTTGCAGTGGTAATGTAGCAATTTGAGATTCTGCTTAGTAACTTCTATGTTAGCTCCTCAAACATTCCCCATATTCCGTTGCTTTTTCCGGAATAACAACTTGTACAATGGTTACGATGTAATAACACATCTGAAGGAGCTGTAATGTGACAAAGAAAAATTCAACACCAAGACACACAATACAATGTGGGGAGAGATGTCCAAAAGTTTGGTCAAAGCCAGGCTTGAAGCAGCATTTTAACAAAAGAGTGAGGGAGCTTCAAATCCGGAACACTCAGTTTAAGAGGTGAGTCACCGCTGTGTATTAATTACCACAAGCTCCTTTTTTAATTTGGCTACAGTATTAAGAAATCTCAGGCAATCAAACTCTGAAACAATGATTTAAACTTTATTGCATTTAATAACCAAAACAAGACCCTCACGTAAGCAAGTTAAGCCTCACAAACCAACTAGGCAATTGTATAGTTAATGCTGGAATTTAGCTATGATTCCAACCAAAAGTGGATGTTCAGGGTTCAATCCTTGTGCAGTGCTGTTCTTTGGAGTACTGCTGCTGATTTCATTTTTTAATACAATTTCTGTCCTCTAGTTGATAGTATAACATTATTGATGGTCCTTTTTAGATTCTTTCATCCAAAATATTGACTACTCTTCTACAGCTATCAAGTCTGTAACTTGCCACCTTTTAATCAAAAGTAGCCTTCCTGTTCCTTTTTACTTGGCGTTGACTGTCTGTCTGTATAAAGACAGCTTTTCTGCAATTTACTCAAATTCTTCTGCAGGGCAATCATTTGTCCTTGTGGCATAAGGCAGCCAGTTATCAAGTAAGTGTTGAAGCAGTTTTGCTTATGTAGCTTTGACTCCTTCTCCCGGACATGGTTAATTGCTTTCAATTCTTGTATAACAGTTTGTGCTTGTCCCTTAACAGTTTATTCCAGACAAGTAGTGTTGCTTTTATCAATCCATGAATGGTTAGTTCTGAAGTTTTCATGATCGCGCCACTGGATATTACCAGGATTAGGAATGCACTTGGGGTGGTGAAGCTGAAGGAGATTACATAAAGGGAAGGGCAAGATCATTGAAATATTTGCAAACAAAGATAAGAATTTTAATATTCAAATTAATATTCTGTACTGGGCAGTTGCTGGACTTCAGTCAGAACTAAGAACGTAAGATCTTGTTTTACTGTAGCCCAACATGGAGGTCCCAATGTAACATTGACAATTATAAAACACAACACCAATCCCCCTTTACATTCAAACTTCACTTTAAACAAGCTTTTTTTTATAAACCCAAACACAACATGTATGTGCAAGCTGCAAATACTTAAATGAACATACTACATTTCCATTGGATTCAACAGACAGATGGCATCATTTAAGGTCGGAGTCTATTTGGTGGCTGTCATCTTACTTCTGGTGCAGGATTGACCTTTAAGGATACTTGGAACCTCATGTAAAGAGGGCATGATTCTAGAGGACATACAGACAGTATCTTCCACAGGGATGGTATCCTCACTGGCTATGATGGTTTGCTCCACAGATGATGTGCTGCTTTCATGAAGTAAGGCAGAAGCCTCTTCTTGAGACCTTCTGGTGACAGGTGTTTCCAACACAAGTGAGTGTGCTGTTTAATAGCTGGCCAGCATGCTGTCGATTTATATTCTCATCCTGAGTCTGGGTCACATAGGATATGGGACCTGTCTGGGCCATGACAGTGGTGGACATCCACTTGTCAGTCGTGATGTATCTCTATGCCAGGACTTGGTCACATTGATGAAAGGAGCATCTGTGTTTCCCTTCTGGATGTCGGGGTAATTGATTCTTCTTTAAGAAGCTCATATGTTTCTTGAGGTAGCAGCAGGTTGAATAGGGTTCATAACTTCCTTTTAAACAGAATATATTTCTACAAGTTCTGGGCAGTGGTGTGGTATGTTTTTGGCATGTGACCAGGAAGCCGTTGACTGAATGAATTAGTGACCTCTTTTTCCTCCTTTTTGTCTCTTTCAATGAGTGCTTGAATGATTGCCTACAAGACCACTAGTTGAGGGATGACAGGATGCAGATTTAATGTGCTCAATGCAATTGCATTTCTTGTCAGTAAGTTCCTGCATGAGAAAGTGAGGACAGTTGTTGCTGACAACCTGCTTAAGGATACTGAACACCTCAAATTTTGTCCAGTTTCTCTATAGCTAAAATAAAATATCCTGTATTATCACGTGTACTCAGATACAGATGTACAAGAGTACAGTGAAAAGTTTTACAATGTCACCTCGAATGGCACTATCTTGTGTACAAGTATGTAGGTACAAATCTTAGATACAAAAAGAGGAATAATAAAAGTAGTTGCATTACTTTTCAGAAAGAAGACGTAGCTAAAAAGATAGACATTAGTCATATAAAAATTACACAAACATTACTTTGCAGTAGCTGAGTAAGAGGCTTCACGTGTGGTCTGACCACCTAGTCCAACAACCATCCCTGCTCCACTCCAAGTATCAGTTACAATGAATTTCATTCTCCCCATGCCCCAAAAAAAAAGGGCAGGCAAAATCAATGTGGATATGTTGGCTGGGGCATCTTGGACCATTCTCAGGTGTGAGTGTGAGCGTGGTGGTGCATATTTTGATTTTGGCACAAGTTGGCTGTTTTCAAATTTAGGCATGAAAATTCAGTCAACAGAAATACTTCCTGATGAGCTCTTTGACCCTGCCACAGCTGGATGGTCCTGGTTCAACTGCTTCAGCATTTTGAGTTTGCAAGATGATGATCCTCATTCCCCATTGTAGATAACTGTTCTGATCCAGCGAATCCCATCTATAGGATTCTTAAGGAGCTTGACAGGGTAAATGTTGAGAGGATGCTCCCCTCAGGAGAGACTAGGACCAGAGGGTGTAGTCAGAATAAAGGGGCTCTAATTTAAGACTGAGGTGGGGAGGAATTCCTCCTCGAAGGATTGAGTGGCTTTGGAACTCCTTACCACAAAGCTGAGGGGGGCATGGGCAGGAGTCCTTGTGTGTATTTAAGGCTGAGAGATTCTTAATCAGTAGGAGAAATAGAGGGTTTTGAGGATAAGCCAGGAAAGTAGATGGGAGGAACGTCAGATGAGTTATGATGCTAGTGAATGGTAGAGCAGAAGGGCCAAACAACCTGCTCTTGTTCCTATTTAGAACATAAAATGTAGAACAGTACAACACAGGAAGAGGCTCTTTGGATCATGTTCTAGTGAACATGACATCTAATTATACTGATCCCTCTTCCTGCCCGTGGTCCATAACCCTCCAATCCTTGCTTATTCATGTGCTTATTTGAAAGCCCCTTTAAATGCTGCTTGTGGTCTTATTGACCTCTGGGAGACACATGGGCTGAGGTCAGAGTGGTTCCTGCCAACCTCCCCTTTTTTTGTTAATGAACAGATCCACCACCTAGCTTAATGGGGTCATTTCTGATGTCATTCTTCACTTGTACTCTTTTCTTTGCCCCCACCGCCCCCCCCAACCTGATTAGCTGCTGACTAATTCTTAGAATTTGTTCTGTAGCTGTAATTTTAAAACCAAACCATTCACGTGTTCTTGATTTTCTTATGATCTATACAGTTTAGCTGTCTTTCCAGAAGTACAGCTAAATGTAGCATGCCTGACATGTCTGTTTCTGTCCTTTTCAAATCCTCATTCTCACTACTTGTAATCTTCTTTGAATGCATCAGTGATTTCCCTAACCTATTCAAGAATGTATTAAAATCATTGTAGTACACTCTGCCCACATTTCATTTTATTTGATTTTACTATTGCTACATGTGCTGAGATAGTTAAAAATGATTGTTTTGCATACTAACCAGACAAATCGTACTTTATGCAAGTACATCAGGATATTAGAACAGAATGCAGAAGATGGCATTACAGCTGCAGAGAAACATCAGTCCTAACGAGTGGGGAATAAGCTGTTATTGAATCTGACAGAATTGCTTGCAACTAAAGGTTTCAAGGTCGCAGGAGTGTACCGGCAGGCAGGAAGGTGGTTTGAAGTGTGTCTACTTCAACGCCAGGAGCATCTGGAATAAGGTGGGTGAACTTGCAGCATGGGTTGGTACCTGGAACTTCAATGTTGTGGCCATTTCGGAGACCTGGATAGAGCAGGGACAGGAATGGTTGTTGCAGGTTCCGGGATTTAGATGTTTCAGTAAGATCAGAGAAGGTGGTAAAAGAGGAGGAGGTGTTAGTCAAGGACAGTATTACGGTGGCAGAAAGGATGTTTGATAAGGACTCCTCTGCTGAGGTTAGAAACAGGAAAGGAGAGGTCACCCTGTTGGGAGTTTTCTGTAGGCCTCCAAAAAGTTCCAGAGATGTAGAGGAAAGGATTGCAAAGATGATTCTGGATAGGAGCGAAAGTAACAAGGTAGTTGTTATGGGGGACTTTAACTTTCCAAATATTGACTGGAAACGCTATAGTTCGAGTACTTTAGATGGGTCAGTTTTTGTCTAATGTGTGCAGGAGGGTTTCCTGACACATTATGTAAATAGGCCAACAAGAGGAGAGGCCACATTGGATTTGGTACTGGGTAATGAACCAGGCCAGGTGTTAGATTTGGAGGTAGGTGAGCACTTTGGTGATAGTGACCACAATTCGATTACATTTACTTTAGCGATGGAAAGGGATAGGTATATACCGCAGGGCAAGAGTTATAGCTGGGGGAAAGGCAATTATGAGGCGATTAGGCAAGATTTAGGATGCTTAGGATGGAGAAGGAAACTGCAGGGGCTGGGCACAATTGAAAAGTGGAGCTTGTTCAAGGAACAGCTACTGCATGTCCTTGATAAGTGTGTACCTGTCAGGCAGGGAGGAAGTGGTTGAGCGAGGGAACCATGGTTTACTAAAGAAGTTGAATCTCTTGTCAAGAGCAAGAAGGAGGCTTATGTA